GCAGTGCAGTGCTCTCCTGGCCTGCAGGGGTGGTGCACACACGATCAACATCCGCACTCACTGCACGTAGACATGGCTACGGCCCACATGTAACTACATGCACGTGTACATGCCACGCTGTGGCCTGAACAGGCCCGTCTCCCCAGCTGGCTTGTGAGACGCTGGGAGCCTGGGTGAAGGGTGCAGCCATCTCACTAGGTTGTCCCTCTCTGTTCCTGGTCAGTGACTCCCAATAGAGAGGCGGAGGAGCAGAGGCCCCTCGAGGGTTAGCTAGCACACCACGTGCAGCCGCTGGGGCTGCAGGAGGCTTGAGGTGACCGTGATGGCCATGGCCGGCTTGGGCCTGGCCCTGGAGGGGGTTGTCGTGTGCGTCCCGTTTCTCAGAGGAGGAAACCTCACTCCTGGGGTTGGCTAGACTCTGAACCCAGTCCTGGGCTGGAAGACTTCTGGCTGGGTGAACCCAGGACCTGGGATTGTCGTCTTAGCAGCACCCCCTCCCCACTGCCTCTGCCGTTTCCACTGCTGGCCCTGATCCCCGTCTCTGGGGCCCCACTCTGAGGGCTGGACTCTTTGAGCCTGCCGCCTGCCCTTTCCTGCCCTTCCCTGCAGTCCCGTGTCCCTCCACCCTTCCCGCTTCTGCTGGTGGTAGGAAGGCCTTTGAGGTGTTGCCAGCCCAGACACGCGGTCCAGTTGCCTAAGGCAAGTCTGTGCCAGCCCCTTCCCTAGGCGCTGGTGGGGAACTGGGTGTCTGGCCCCGTGACAGCACGCTGATAGCTGAGCTCAGGCCCTTGGGGAACCCAGGACGACGCTCAGGCAAGGCTTGGCTGTGTGCCGGGAGATTCTGGAGGGTTCCCCTGGGTTCCAGAATGCTCACTTGGGCAGCAGGGGAGGTGGTGGTGGTGGTGGTGGTCAGTGTGCTCCTGCAGGATCTGCTGAGTCCACCACGGAGCTGCAGGGGCCACCAGGCTGAGGCTGGGCTTGATGGACTGGTGTCTGTACTTTAGCCCCTCAGGGCCCCAGGGGTTCCCACCTCTGAGCCTGGGTATCTGGCCATCCCTCCCCTCAGAGCCTGCCTTCCTTTGGGCCTCTGCTCACAGGTGCTCCTGATAGGCCCCAACTGCCCAGTGCTACCACACGCCTGTAAGCCCCAACTGCAGGGCTCTGTCCCTCCCCGCCTAAAGCATGTGCTTGGTAAACAGCTGGCCTGCCATGGTGTCCCCTGCAGGGCCTCCGGTGTGCTCTGCCCTGGACACCCAGGCCCTAAGAACTGTGAGCTCGACTTGGAGTTGGGCTTGCCTCCCCACAACCCGGAGGTTGTTGAACTGTGCCTTATGGGGGTGCTTCTGGGGAATCGCCCTTCCAGGGTTGGGCCTCAAGTCCCAGAACGAGAGACCACACGCATGCTGAACCTGGTGCCCTGCCGAGCCTACCTACAACCGCTGTCGCTGACCCCATGGGGGGCACCCTGTCAGGCTGGTTCTTAGATGCCCACTTGTCCCCCAGTCCCCGGATACCCGGGAACCCTCCAGAATCTCTGTATTGAGCCGGTCATGGCCCACCATCCACACCCAGCGGGGTGCCCCTTTTGAAGAGTCTATCAGGAGGGGCTCATGAGCGCAGACAGCAGGGTCTGTGGGTGCAGGGCGGGGAGTCACCGCACTGGTTGTGTGTTCCGAGCTCCGCTTTGTGCAGCGGGCGGGGACCCACCTGGGCGGAGACAGATGCACGGCCCACTGACCCTGGCCTTCCCGTGCCTGGGCCTCACTTCGCACCCTTTCCTCAGGAGCCCTGTCCCGCGCCCGCCCGCCTGTCTGCTGTGCTCGAGGCAGGCCATGTGGGGTGGGATTTGAGCCCCGGTCCT